TTCATCACATCACTGATTTTATCATCCAATGATGTATTACTGTAAAAAACTTGTATTGCAAATGTGAATTAACGGAAAAGTGAAATTTTATCGCGAAATTATCCGATTCAGTATTATCAGTTTCCGCCTATTAATATTCCAATACTTTTACATCGGGTATACTCGTACCTATGTCATCCGTCATGCAATAGTTTTTGTCTGATTCAATTGAAAACAATTTTTCAAACACATCATTCGATAACTGTTCTGTGAACATAATGGTTCACATGTTCTAACTTGTGTTGAGAAATCATTTTATGAAATATACATTCCCAACTGAGTAAGGTGTATAAATTCTGCTGCTACTCTATATACTATAGTTGAAAACTTGTTTGATCATGTTTGATTACAAACAAAAATAATTCATTGCAGATGAGCGAAATGACTGACGGTTTTACCTTGATCTATCTCTTGTAGTAACGTACGGAAATTATACCAAAGAGATAAGAAAAAAAGATAATAAAACATATAGAATCACAACCTTGATGACAACAATGTTGTCATTTTAATGCAATACTGTTGCTGTACTATAGCTCATGATGCTTTCTCGACGAGGATGTTCTTTCCGGCTTAGATGGATCTCTGCAAACATATTTGTGTCGTTCCATTCTGAGGCTGAGCAACTGCCTTGTCTGCCCTATATTAACCTCATTACAATTCTACTTCACATGCTGGGTATGATTTGGTCTGTTCCTGTTGTTTTACTCAGATTTGGAAGGATGTTTTTTAATATGTTATTGTTATATAACCCAATACGGAAATGTACAGTTTCTAATACTCCAAGATTTCCTCTGACAACTTTTTGACATAACTCAGTTTGAAATATTTTTCTCCTTCGTTATTGCTAAAGGTGAAGGAAGTTTCACCAGTATTCGAACGATTGTATGATTTGCTATTGATGATAGGTTTCGGATACTTATTGATTTTTTTCAACACGCGTTTGTCATCTGTATGTATGTATGTATGCATGTATGTTTGTTTATTTGCTTGTAACTGTCAAGCTCGGGATCTGTATTTGACAGAAATATCGACATTATTGCTTGATTTATTCGCTGGCAGATGGTGCCGTACCTAACTTCCTTGATATATCGACATTATCGCTTGATCTATTCGTGGGCAGATAACGCTGTACGTTATCGACATTATTACTTGTTCTCTTCGCGGGCAGATGGCGCTGTACGTAATCTCCTTGATATATCGACATTATTGCTTGATCTATTCGCGGGCAGATGGCGCTGTACTTTTTGAAAATATATTTTTAACTTTTTAGTTCGATGTTCTTTGAAAGTGTGTTTTTTAGTTTACTGAATTATATTTATTCAACAATGGATTTGTCATATTAAGTTTATTTTTGTGATATTACTACGGCTAAATGTCAATACTATATGCTTGAGATCTCATATTTATCATTACATCTTCTCGTGAAAGACACTACAAACAATTCAAAATCTACCTGTGTTGATTGGTTTTCGTCAATTTCATTGAATGTTTAATAGCTCTCAATCCATTATGTGTGAATATAACATGATATATTTTTTTGTCATCTCAATTGGTCTCTATGTGATCTTTTCACGACTCCAAAAATCAAGCTTGGAAATGATTGCTTTTGAGATGAACCACTCGAAAATATCTCGTAATGAGGTTGAAAAAACGAAACTTCATGGAATATAATCAATATCAAGAATGAACAGATGCATTTTTTGAAAACAGTGACTTCTAAAAAAACAAGGAGGAAATATCATACTGAAGTTTTAGGTGTTCACGGCGGAAAGTCATTTGGAAGCTGTGGTTGTACGAGCTAGACAACCGTGCTCCATTGAACTTTAATTATATATTTTCTGAAATTTTCTCCTTTATCAATTTCACAATGACAAATAAAATAAAAGGAAAATATTTTTGGGGAAAATTATTTTTTGATAAAGAAAAATTTTTACTTTCTACTTTCCCAATTTTTTTTATATGAAGATAGAGAATTAAAAAGCCAAATTTTTTTTCCACAGTCGAAATGCAATGAAAAACTTCTTGAAAATATTTGATGATGACTTATTTTTTCAGGTATGGTTCTTTCAATATACATTCTGATATGTGGAATTATTTCATTGGTTATTATATACATATGGTTCATGTACTGCTATAATTATTGGAACAATAGAAATTTCCCTTATTTGAAACCTAGTTTTCCGTTGGGAAATAACCAAACCATGTTGTGTAAATTTCCTGGTCCGCATTTGGAAAGCTCCGACTATTATACAAAAATCAAGAAAAAAGGGTATAAATTTGCAGGTGTTTTCTCTATCACTCGACCTATATTGGTGGTGGTAGACCCAGATATTTCAAAGGATATTTTAATAAAGGTAATTTTGTTAAATTTTTATATGGATAATCCAGAGTTTTGATCAGACTCGTAGTAGCTCATGCACATTTGTTATAACCTGTAATCATCATTGCATAAATAATATCACATTGGTAATTTAGGTGTGGATTATTTCATCCAATTAACATGAATGATACGAGTATGTTCATTTTCTTATTGTTTTGTATGAATGAAATGAATCAAAGCAAATATTTCATTTCATCACATCAATGTAAGATTACCACTTGAAAGTGGAAATCTCAGATGCTGTCAGTACCTCATATCAAAAACTATGTAGAAAGCCGTAAACCACCATATCCTTGAATTTTTGGAAGGCTTCAATATCTTGAGCGATCATCAACATGGCTTTCGGAAACAAAGATCAACAGGTGACCTTCTATCATATGTCACCCATATTTGGAATAACATCTATGATATGGCTTATCGATTCGATTTTGTGTATGGCTCTTTAGCTTTCTGAAAGAACGTTCCCAGCAAGTGGCCGTCTCTCGAATACTTTTACCATCAACACTAGTGTTTCCCAGGGATCCATATTGTCTCCAATTCTCTTTGTATTGTATATCAATGACTTTCTTTATGCTTGAGGAAGCTGTTGTATAGTGAAACGCGTGTCACGGTTTTTGTAAAACCCTTTAAAGTGAAAATCATACAATAAACTCTATAAATTAGTTTTTTTTTTTCAATATGGATTTTCATCAAGTATCGGCCAGTTCTATTCAATTATCAATTCAGTGCCACGGAAACAGGCATCGATTTTCTTCAAAAAGATAAATGTCTTCAAATCGAATGTAATAATGTCAGGAGAGACAATGCCGCTTTCTGCTTCGTTAAGTTTGTTAGAGTTTGGAAAGGATACCAATATGTTTAGGCACAAAAATGTCACTAGAATTGCAAAGGATGCTTCTCAACAGCTTGGAACACTATATCAAACTAAAAAATTGTGCACACCTCAGCAAATTTTGATGCTTTATAAAGCTCAGATCAGACTTTCTTTGGAGTATTGTTCTCGTATTTGGAACTCCGCTCCTAAGCATACCTTGAAGCTGCTGGATTCCATCCAGAAAAGAGCCATTCGCCTGGAGATTTGTCTCTCTTTTGTAGATACTTTCACGTGAGGTGTTCAAGCGATTTGGCACATTCGATTCCACCAAGAGTAGTTCATATCATCAGAAATACGCGATGGACTGTGGCTGCTCATCGTTTTGAGGTTCATCTCAGTACACCTCAAACTTTACTGCTCAAGAACTCCCCCATTTGGAGAACTGCGTGTATATCGAATAAACTTCCTGGAAAAGTTTTTTCAAATAAATTCAATCTTCAGCTATTCAAATCCAACGTGAATCGCTAATTTTGTACAAGCACCGCTCTTAGAGCGCCTTAAAGAGTTTCCTGTATTGCTTGTGTTCAGCCTTTATGAAAATGTCAATTGGTGAATAGCTAGCTAAAACAAACGACCTTCATATAGTTCAGATCGAACTTCACTCAGGTCATGAAATATACTTACTTAAATTTGTAAAAATAATAATACACATTAAACATGAACAGGTAAATGATAATAAAATTATACTTATAGTACAGAAAAAAATTCTATATTAAACTACCAACAGAACTCCGTATCTAGTGTTATATGGTATCTATTGTGTTTGTGTTCACCGTCAGCCCTTCTGAAGGCTATAAACTTTTCTCTCTGCAAAATATTTGGTGTAGAGCAATTCATAGAGCTGAACGAGCAGAAATTGAATTTCCTCGGAAATTTTAATTGTTTCAGATTCGTAATTCAGTCCTGAAAATCGTAAGGTTTCAGCAAAAACTAGCTTATATGTTGGATATGAAGTCCAGTTGGTTTAAACATCATGTGATCTAAGTCACTGTATTTCGACATACAGTGAGTGTGTCCTCCTAATGAAACACTTTCAAAAATATGATAGCATTTACCGATACTTGATGAAAATATATCATATCGTATTCAAAAAACACGTTTTGATGGGAGATTTCCACATTTATGGTTTTGCCTACGATATTGCCGCTTTCAATTCCAATAAACTAAACTACGTTTAGATATTCTCATCGCTTTCACTATTGTATTTTTCAACGGGTATGATGGAAATGAATTATTTGATTCACTATCAAAATCTTTTTTTTTAGATTTGCAGTTGTCATTGTTCTTTGTGTAAAGTTTAATCGGATCGATGTCGGTTTGTTTCAATGCTTCAATTTCCCGTTTGAATTGAGCTATCTCATCACTGAATAATTTTTGAAGATTGTAAATTTCTTGCGAAATGATTCTTTTAATTTTACCAGTCAGTGACTTTTTACCATGTTCATCACCACGAGTGATCACCATTTCATCTTCAGTATAATATAAATTGAAATTAATATGCGAAGTAGCACAAAACACTACAGTTCAACTAGACCGTTCACTGCATCATATGTTCATATGTTCTAGGATTTCAAATATTTTTCGGATCGTGGTTTCTATAAGCATCCATCAGATTATTTATCAATGAATCTATTTGGTTTGGATTCTGAAGAGTGGAGAATAAATAGGACTGAACTGACTCCTACATTCACTAGTGGAAAAATCAGGATGATGATCCCAAAAATCATATCAGTCAGTGATTCATTGATACAAAATATTGAAAAATACACCGACATCAAAGCAGATATCAATATCAAACAGGTGAGAAAAAAAACATATTTGTTTTTTTAACGTCAAAAAACTCATCATCCAAACTGAAAAGTAATGAAAGTGAAATATATTCGAGAAAAGTTCTGGTGATGACATCGCTAGATATTCTTGACCGTATTTTCCTAGATAAGTGATATTCAATTTCATATTCATTTTACGATTTTGATGCAAAAATTCATTTCATTATTTTAATCCAAATTTTGAAGATTGCAAGTGAATTCACTGTCAATTCCATAGCAAGCTGTATCTTAGGTATAATACCAGGCACTCCTGAGAAACTGGGCAACTGTTTTGCAGAAGTGACTAGAAAACATTTTGAGAGAGAAAGGCTCAGCTATCTTCTGCGAGTGTCATTCCTCAATAGGTTTCCAGATCTGAGCTGCAAATTGGGTGAGTATATATTTTCACAATGTAAAATTCAAGTACAAATCCGTACTAATTACAGAACCAATTTATACATATCATATATTATATTATAT